TGTCAAGGTGAAGCACGAAGAAAAAAGAAATATCCTTCAGAAAAGTGCTGTGCGTGAGAAGTCGTTTGTGCTGCTTTCTAAAACTCAAAATTGCCTCCTGAAACATATGTCCTATAATTCTTCCCAGACAGAACCTCCTTTTTGTTAAAATAGATAATATCACTTTGTGTGAATAACATCATGTTTTTGAAACACTGTCAGTTGCTATGGTAACCTGATTGTGTGTGATAAAAAGAGCACATATCATCTTGACGAATGTTCTATGGTAGCTTCCAACAAAATTTAGAAGCTCTCTCAGTGTTCCATAAGCTTTGCTGACCAGTTGTTATCAGTGGTTCATTTTGGGTTGTCCTGTCAGCACTCTTCTGTGGGATTGCTGAGGATGGGCTCAGTCTCCTCAGCCTTTTTTAGTTTGTGTCCTGGAAAGTGAAGGAAGAGGTAAAAAAGATGGAGACCACATCAGACCTGCACACTGAGGTTTAACCAGAGCATGTGGAGTGGAGGTGAAAAGAAGGCACTTGTCTCAGAACAATCCGTGGCACCAGTGATGCTGTGAAAAGGACAGCATGGTTCATAGTGGTACTCACTGCACAGCCTTGATGTGAAAATCCAGAGCTCTGCCTTCTCAGTCTGGTTCAAATCCTGCTCACTTTGTGAACTTGAGCAAGTTTCCTGATGTCTCTGATTCTTATTTTCTCCTAAACTGTGAAGATAATTGACAAGATCTTCTTTAGTCCTAATCATCTATGATGGTGGGATCCTGAGTAAGACAAGAGCTTCAGAAAGTGTGACCCAAAGAGCCACAGGAATCTTAAAATCCCCAAACCTGGCTTCAGATCCTATAAAGTGGAAACTGGGTCCAAAGCACTTCAATCTACATTTTCTTCAAATGTTCCAGCTGATAGCTGTGCACAGTAAATGTCAGAACATCTGTGATAGAGATGTACCAGGAGAGCATAGGTTTCCAAGAAAGATACACCCTGGTGTACACAGAAAGGAGTCTGACATTAAACAGTTGTCTTCCTCTGCAGGACCTATTAACCCACAGGGGAGAGCACCAATCCCTTAGGTGCTCAGGAGATCATGTTAGAATTGGGTCAGTGGTCACAGCTTCTGTCTGCCCAGAAACTTCTAAGGAGGGGTCTCCAGCACAGTTTTTATTCTTACTGCAAAGTATAAACTTTCCTGATGATAGGGTTATCAAAATGAAATATGGAGTGTATGGGTTTTTGTTGCTGTTACTGGTACTGTTGCTATTTGGTTTTGTTTCTTGTGGAGTTTTTTGGAGTCTGACAAACCTACCTACTAACTTTTATCATAGCCTACAGTCAAGAAAACATAAAAGAAGAAAGAAACTTTCCTTTCTTTCCATCAATACAGTGTCGTATTTCTGAACTGAACAGAAGAAAATTGATCTGAGATGTGAAAAAAGGACATATAAAATAAAACAAGGCCTTCAAAGAGTCTGAGTCATGGCTCTAATCAATACAAAAGAGAAGTGAGGTCATGGGAATAACTTTTCAGAGAAATCCATTTTCTTCTTTGCTTTGAGACCTCTCGAAAGAAAAACTTAAATTGATAAATTCTTGAACATCTTAGTTGGCTTTGCTCTGATTAGTCATACAATGACATCAGTATCTTGCAAATTAAGGTCCAGCTAAGTTAAATTAAATGTGTGTCAGCAGTAGATACAGAAGAAGGCTCACCCTGGGTATGATACCAGTTTTGGTAACAACCTTTAGTTCAAAAGAGAAAGAGAAAATAAAAATGAGAATTTTCTAAAACAAAACAAAATTGAAAAAAAAAAAAAACTACTGGAAGTATTTTGAGATAAAAGTAGAATGTGTGGGATAGAGTAGTCTGCTGGAGCTCCCATTCCAGAATCTTAAAGGCCAAAAGATGAATTCACCTACACACAAGTTTTGCTGATCAAATGGGAAATTAGACTGAATCACCTAAAAAAATACAGACAGGCTCTGCACAGAAGACAGTTGTCCTTCTCCTAGACCCAGATGACCCAGTTCCCCAACTCTTCAATCAATTTATTTGAGCATCTGCTGTATGCCTGAAGTTGTGATTATCCCTGTCTTATAAAAGTTCCCAATCAAACAAGGCAAAAAAGACTATGAAACTATGAGAGATGAAACCAAGGATAGCTGTAAAACAAAAGGGAAGAGATCCATGTGGGCTTTCAGGAAATCTGATGGTGGAAGCAAAATTTAAAGTTAGTTTCAATAGATGTGATAATGGGGCATTAAGATATTTGGAGGTAAGAAATCAGAAAATGGAAAGTAGCAGAAATGAGAGTACCATGATGGAAGAAGAGAGACAAGCAGAGGTATGCACTGGGAGTGTGTGAGAATTAGCTCACCGTGCAGCCCCTGGAAGCTCTATCTGGCTCATCTGTTAGTCACATTTATGCCTGGATTAGTGGTTCCAGGGCCCTGGCTCTCCCCACATGGCAGACCAAGCTCCATTTAGATGCATAGACTATTTGGGCTTCCCCAGAGACGGGCATTGTTATGAAAATTGGAATGCCATGAGACAGTTGGTCCTCTGATGTGGGGATAATATACTTCTCTGATTGTTTTAGGCAAAGGTTCTATCCTCATAAACAAAATGAGGATTAGAAAAGCTTTCATTTAGTGCCCAGCCTCTTCTTCACTTCCTCTCCTTTCAATGAAATGCCAGGTCACAATCTTTCTTTCTCATTGTTTATGGCATATGAGAGACTAGTTTGAGCTAAGGAATATTTATTTTTACAAGATTGTGACCAAGTGAAGAGGAGAATGTTTAATTAAATGAAACGCAAATGGAAAATTTTCAGTTGATAGTAGAAGAGATATTAAGCTTATGTAAAGTAGTCCATTGTCTAATAGTATCTGAAAGGAATCTGGGAATTCCCTTGTGTAAGGTCCTCTCTGTCATTTACATCTGCCATCCACCACAGAAAACAGTGATCTCTCTAAAGACATTTCAAGTAGTAGAAATGGTATCATACTAGTCATTGGGGCTCCTAATTTATATGTTTCTTCATGGCTACCAACTATAAGCCAAGAGAGCAAGACGTGTTACTACATTCTAAATAATACTCATTACTCAGTTTCGAAAGACTTACTCATTTTTATTTAGCAAACCTATTTGGAATATTTACTAAGGTGCTATCTCACTTATTTGTTAGGACTTGCTAAGTAACAAAAATACCAAGAGCAAAGGGAGATAGACACAGACAGGGAAAAGAGACAAACAGACACAGAGAAAGCTGCTAAGTAACAATTTGATGGGTATAGAAGCAATTGAGAGCTTCTTACATGTGTAAATTTCTGGACCCATCACCCAAAGGTTCTGAGTCCATGCAACTGTAGTGAAGCACTTAAATCAGTGTTTTTAATAAGTGATCCAGTATATTCAGTTACAGGTGGTCCCTGACCACACTGAGAATCATAGCCTAAGACAATAACAGAATGTGGAGGTCAAGAATAAAAAAACGTAAGCGAAAATCAAGCAAACTGAGGTAATACTTTAATTAACCAAGTATCAGACCTCAGTGGGATAGGCCCAAGTCTTGCCAGCTGATAGCAACATAGACCAGCAGGTTATTTCCCTCATGTTTGCAAAATAGTCTATTTTGTAAGCCACAGGAGAAAGCTCCATTTTCCAGAAAGACAAATCAGAATGGCTGCAAGGAGCATGCTAACTGGAGTTGTCATGGCAACTGTAATCCCTGTGAATGGAACTAGGAAAACTACATTTAAGAAAGAGGATGTGAAGAACCTGGATTGAGGAGCATGCCATGCAATTTTTAAAGGACTGCTGTACCTGTATTAAATCACATTATATCCCAAGTAGAAGAAATCAAAAGAAAGAGGATGGATTCCTTCTAAAAATGGAAAAGGATTGGTGCACAGCTGACTCATGAAGCATTATTTGCCCCTTTGAGCATTTCCAATTTGCTTTCAATAGTTCTAATATTGGAGACTCCATGAACTGCTAAATTCATTGATTGAAACCATCCTCAAACACAACATTGAAATACAAGAGTGATTAAGACAACTCTAGAAAATAACCACCAAAAACTTTTATTTAATTAAAAATACACATTGTTGCATTTTCATGGAAAATATTGAGATAAGAAAACACCAACAGTGTTGGTTTTCAGAAACCTTCATGCACCCTTCTGCTATCTGCTGCTTTCTTCTAGCTGTGACATTAACTATGTGTTTAGGAATTGGGCCCATGGAACTGGAGCTTGCTAGAAAGTTCTACCTACATGTCTCCTGGAGTGAGCCAGTTTCTTGACAACAGTAAGAAAATGTTTCTTGTTAACACAGACACCACCAGCTTTGGCTTCCTTGAAAATAATTGAAAGGAGCAGATATGAAAACTCAAAGCTCATGGGAACACCAATTCATTATAACAACTGAGTACTGCTACAACCTCATCCAGTTGCTAAGCCAGTTAGCAAGTATTCTACCTAATGTATTAGTGTCCTGAGCTCCCCCACAAAATTTCCCCAGAATTCATGGTGGGAAGACACTGCAATATAGTGTTTATATTCAAATCACTGCCAAATACACAAAAGCACATGTGACCTCCAAGAATAATACTATTTAAAAAACAGTGCATGGTGGCCCACACGTAATATTAGCTACTCAAGAGGGAAGTGGAGGTAGGAGGATCATGGTCTAAGGCCAGGCCAGGCAAAATCACAAGACCCTATCCAAAAAAACAAACTAAAAGCAAAGCGACTGAGTGGCATGGCTCAATTCCCAGTACTACCAAAAAAAATAATAATAACATATATTGGTACAATACAACTTTTGGAATCACTGACTAAAACACAGCCATGTGAATAGTTTTTAAATCTTCAGGTAATCATATATTTGCTAAAAATGTAAAATAACAAAATATTTAAAAAATGTAAAATGTGAAAAACATAAAATGTAAAAAACATAAAATAAAAAGAGTTGCATAAAAATTTAAAAGATTATTTTAGCTATAAACATCTCACACATAAATACAAGATGTGTACAATCCAGTCCTTTCCCTACTCTCTTTTTTTTTTCCCCTTTGGGCTGTTGTCATTCCTAACTTATTTTCTTAACCTCACATCATAATGCTGCATCCTCATGTTGCTCCCATATGATGCTTTTACTAAAGTTGGATCTGATGTGACAGGAATATTCCAGCTTTGCTTTTTTTCTGGTCCTTTGCTTTAAATTGTAGCATGCTTAATTTGAGTTCTGCATCCAGTATTATATTAAAGAGAAGCAACTTCCCCCCAAAATACACAAACAAATAAAATAGCTGGATAACACAAAGTTAGATTGCCTCAATTCTTAGAAATTTAAATATGGTATTTCTTCTTTGCAATGGTCTCTCAACTGATGGGAATAAAATAAGGCTGAAATTGCTTTTCACATTCTGGCTCTGTTGGGGGCATTTTCACATAAACCCCTGTTGTCAGAGGGCTTCTTTTCTTTAGCTGCCAAACACAAGAAGAAATAGTAATTATTATTGGAGAATACAGAATCTACTCTAGCTATAATAGAGCTCAGCAAATATTGGGTCCCTATCCTGTTGAAAATGAATGTTCCCAACATACAGAATCACAAACCCCAGGAGATTTTCTTGATTCAGCTACTAAAATTCATTTTAGATAACTAATTCTGTAATTTGGATATAAAATAGCAACCACTTTCCCCAACTGGAAGATAGGAGAAAGAGACTTTGAGAAAACTTCACAAAGAACACCTACAAAGCCTAGAATAATTGACTGGATCTTATCTATGGGAAAACAAGTTTAATAAGATAATGAGCCTTAGTTACCCTATTTGAGAGCTCTATTTCTTATCTTGACTTCTCGTATGCTTTTCATTTATGTTTCTCTGTCTGCATTAGTTCCCAGATTTTATAACCTCAGAAAATTGAGGTCCAGTTTGCTAGTCTGTGTGGTGGTTCAGAGAAAAGGAGATAGGACAACCCAACAGCAACAGAACATCACACTAGGTTGAACAAAGGCTCTTTGAAAACTGTGTCTTTGTGTGTGGAGGGAGGAGGGAGACAGAAGGAGGAAAGGGGAAGTAGGAAGAGGACAGGGGAAGAGAAGAGAAAAGGGAGAAGAAAGAAGGGAGGATGGGTTTACGGTGGCAAAGATAGCCTTAGGCAGAGCTGACTGAAAAAGCACTGCTATAATGAAATCCTGACAAGAGATCTGATTCTGTACCTCTGTTTTCACCACCAAGAACTGTCATAAATAAAAACCGGGATTTTCATTTATTTGGCTTGGGGAGATCAAGACATCTCAGTTAAGAAGACTGGATAATAGGGACAGTTATTATGTGGACAGATACAGCTTGGACAAGGAAGGCACAAGGGTGGCACCAAATGATAGTTTACAGGTGAATTAGAGGGACATTTAGGAGAATAAAATTCCATCCAGGTGGTCCTTGCTAGTAGCATTTGGCCCAGCCTAATCTCGTGCTTCAGGTTTATTAACTTAAGTACCATTGTCATGAAGGCAAACAGCAAAACAGCTGCCACATGTTGTTCAAACCGTTACTCAAACTGAAACCATGCTCAGAAGCACACAAACATTCAATGTCAAACACACTCACATACAATATCAGTCATCCTGAAACCTCAAAGGCTAGTGCTTAGGGTTCTAGTGTGCTCTTAGCCACCATCCTTCTTCCCCTTCAATTATTGCTTCATCTCAAGAAAATTAAACTAGTCCGTTGATACTCCTAAAGGCATCCCTATCAAACATGGAGCATTGTCAGCCCCACACTCACCATTTTGCTCAAAGAAACAGCTGTGATGAGGAAGCTGTAAAAGAACAACCCCGAACTAACTGCTGCCAGGATCCAAAGGAGGAAATCAGAATCTGGGCACGGTTCTGGATCTGCGACAGGGAACAAAGCAGAGCCTCCTGAGATAGTTTTCAACTTTCGACTGCTTTCCCCATTTGGTGAAAAATGAAGTTAGAGCTTCTGTGCCTTTCTGTCCAGCCCTAAACTGTATTGGTAACCAATAGCTAAACCTACCTATTTGATACAACTTCCCCAGAATGTTGTATCAAAGGCACAAGGCCAAACTTCCTCATGGTTATCACCGAGCCAAGTGCCCCAACCTGTCAGAAGAAAACAACATCTTCCCTAACTCATTTTATTTTACAGTCAGAAGGCTGCTTGGGTCACCACCCATTAAACAAAGCTGCCATGCAGTAGGGAACTCTTAGGGAGACTTTCCATAGTCCTAATTATCAGTCACCTGAGGGAACAAAACTATTTCCATTTAAAGAAGACAGTAAGGCAACAGGTGTCGACGTAATAAAACAACTACTCACCGATGACATAGATCTGAGTCCCGTTGCCCACACCCACGTAGTATGGTGGCGGGTACATGAGCTCCACCTTGCAGATGTAGAGCCCCATGTCTGCAGCCCTCAGCCCTTGGATGGTGAGATTCACTTTGTTTCCAATGGAGGTGCCAGTGCAGGTGGGGTCATCTAGGAAGGTCAACTCATTACCCACCATGTACGTCGTGGCACAGACCTCAGTGGTCTGGCTGTTGGTCTGCCGCAACACTGTTACTCGGACCTCAGCAGCATTGGGTGAAGATGCAAACTCACACACAAAGTTGGCAACACCCTGGTTGCTGGCTAGCACCACTGCAGGTTGGGCCACATGCATGGCTGACATAGAAAAACCAAAGAGTATTCAGTGAACTTGTGTTCATCTGTGGCCAGACCCAGGCAATGCATCAGGCTGGGAAGGCTTATCTTTGACAAGCCCCCTTCAGCTTTGTCTCCTGGCCCTCAGCTTCCTCCTAAAAACCCCATCACCCTCCCTCATCCCTTCCCTTCCCACCCACCTGACATCCACTCCATCTCTCAGCTGTCTGCCAACTACTCTTCATGAGGATGTTTCTTTACCAGAAAATAGTTTCTTAAAGACAGTTGGTTATGACAGGGAGAACATCAATGTGACCAACAAAAGATCTGACTTTGTCATGAAATATGTCACTTTGGTAAGTCATGCCTCTCCTTCATTTTTTCTAACATATAATAAGGGGGGGTCACATGATAACACAGAGCCTACCAACTCTGATATTCTGAGGTTATAATAGAGCTCTATTGATCGGGAGCTATAATGAGTAGAAGGGGAAGTTCTAGAGATTGAGATGCAAAACACTGCCCAGATTCTCAAAGCATACCTCAAAAATTCATGCCTACATATCTAATCATACCTGTGTCACCCAGCAGCACCAGAGCCTTGGCTCACTGCACTGGCCACCCTTCCCTGACATGATTGTTGTACAGTGGTATATGCTGCTGGATGAGAAAGCCACAGAGCCAAGGGCACCAGGTTATTTCCTCTCTGGGTTGAGGCAACCCTGCTGTCAACTTTTATGGGCTTCCCCTGCCACCACCACCACTTGCCCTCTCTCTCCTTCCCTTGAACACTCTCATACTCCTTTGTTCTTCCTTCCCCTCTGGCTTCTACAAAATAAAGGAATCCATCTCTCCATTCATAAAGGCTTGCACTATGTGACTTTATAAGCAGGCACAGTAGCACACAATTGCAAACCTAGCACTCAGGCGGTGGATGCAGTAGGATCAGGAGTTCTAGGCCACCCAGGCTAAAGAGCCATTTCAAAGCCAACATGAGACAAATAGCAAGACCATGCCTCAAAAAAATGGTGGCTTGTGTCATATTATATATTTTTTTAATTTACAGACCATTACCTGTCCAATATTACAAGTGGCACCCAAAACTTACATTGAACAGTATCATTCATCTGCTCAAACCTTTTGATGGTTTACTAACATTGATTGCAAAAGCAACAAAATAAATAGCATTCAATGTCTTCTGTGATCCAATCCCAGTCTATAACTCCAGGCTGAGTTTCCATGACATAAATCACCCTATATTAAAGACACTAGTCCCTTCCTCCAAGCACCTGTACTGCACAACATCTGTCCTTAGAAGAGAGAACAATATGGTAGCTGTCAATACCATAGTTAGTCCAGCAGCCTGGCTGGCAAGACTGTAGTGTCCTTTCCAACCTTCATCTCTACTTATCACAGATGCCCTCTGAGCATCCTTTGCTCTGTGGCAGCTCCATTACAGTGTCTCAACAAGTTCTTCCTTTTATTAGTTTTTGTGAGCTGATTAGACTCATCCCCTCCTCTTGCCTCTGGCTCATAAACTCTGGGAACAGTATTTATATCTGCTCAAATAAGCACTCAGTAATTTGTATTGTATTGATTCTAAGTCTAAGGAAGGCTGAATTTCCTGCCCTACCCCCCGGTGAGATCTCAATTATCACCACAAAATCTGATCACACTCATTTTTCTATTGTCCTCCATAGGAAGATCCCAGTTACAGGTTGAGAAAAATTTCCTAAGAAGGAAAGGGTATCAACCTTTATAGGTTTGAAATATGGAAAATAAGAAAATAAATGTGAATGTTTGCTCTCCATAAAAATTAAATCATCAAATCTCTTTTGTGCGCTAAATTCATACAACTACATACTTTCTTAAACAAGAAGGTCTAGAGAGAGAAGGTGATGGGTCAATGGAAGTTCTCATTATTTTAAGCCAAGTAATAAGCCCAGTGTTAATCTTTAAAGAGCTTTATTTCATCTGAAAATTGAGGGTCTGCATCTGAAATTCACAGGCAGAAATTAAGTATCTTATGCCAGACAGACTGATTCCTTTCTTTGTTCCTTCCTTCCTTCCTTCAATTTCAACTATTTCATTTTTTAAAAAATTAACTAACTACTTTATAGTATTTATTAATAGACTATAAAATAATGAATTGAATAAGGAAGGTCCTCTTCCCATGATTTGCTTACATTTTAAACTTAGTTTATAAAACTAATGAATTAGAGAACCATAAAATTTAAATTACATAGGAAAAAAAAATTCTCCATGATTTGCTTGCTCAAGTCAGGTTTTTAAAGAGAGAAATCTTAGCTTACTCTGATAATAAGCTCAAATGTATTCAGAACTGTAGATGTCGTTTCTCTCTTAAATCACTTGACTTTCAGCATTTTCTACCAACATTATAAAAGTGTCTGATGTTGCCCAGGTCTTGTAAACCGACTCACATGTTCATGAAGGCACAACTAAAAACCAGGGACTGTGCTATATGAATTATATCTCTGCTGATTTGCTATTGCCTGCTGTCCCCTACTGTCTTAGAATTCAGAGCCATCTAAGTCAGGATTCTTGGAGCTTTAGCTTTCACTTCTGACTTTTATAAATCACTGCCCTTGACTGTTAAAAGAAATGAAACCCAGGTGGGAGAACACCTCCTCCACCTTCATGTTCCAGAAGTCTCCACTCACCTTCGGAGAAGACAGGGATGAAGAGAAGAGAAAACAGGGCAGTGCAGAGCCAGGTCCTGAAAGCCGGCTCCAGTAGAGCCTTGTGCCCCCGAACTCCAAAGCAAGCCATGGCGTTATGGGAGCCGGGCTCAGGTCTTTAGGAAGCAGAGTGAAACCTTTCAGGATCCCGAAGCTTTGAAATGTGTTTGAACCCACACAGATTCAAGGACTTTATATAGACACCTTTGATCAGACAGGTATGCACGACACGTGCACACACAGAGGGCACCTGAATAGACGGCCTTTCTGTTTTGATTTTACGAGAAAGGAAGCCGTGGGTTTAGCTGTTACGTCGAAAAGGCAACCTCAAACACTCAAAGTAAAACTGCTCAAAACAAGCCAATCCATCGATGGAAAATATACTCAACTTGAAACTGAAGCCTCGCATTCATGTTGAGAATCTGGATAGAGATGAGACCTGGAGAATGGAATTTCCTGGAGTACAGGGATCCCTTCAAGTCCCAGTTTTACCCAATTGCCTGGCTATATTTTACCACCCAGTTCATTTTATTGACATCCCCAAACTACTAAACTACCACTCCTCAGAGTCCTTTAGCTGATGGCAGAATTTGTCTATGGTCATCATTAATAAGAACTCTGTGCACTACCTGTGAGTTTCCATCCTTCTAAGGGTCCCTTGCTATGCTTCCCAAATAAATGTTTGTTTAGGACTTGGGATGTGGGTCAAATGGTAAAGTGACTGCTTGACAAGCATGAGGCCCTGAGTTCAAACCCCAGGACTGAGAATTTGTTTTGTCTAACGCCAGTTAGCATTTTGTTGAGAGAAAAATACCAAAACCATAAGAAATGAATCAAAAAAGAGGCAGGGAAAACCACCTCTGGTTTTGCAGATTGGAAAGAATTCAGATGTTCTTAAAAACCTTAACAGATAAAATAAGGTTGGAGAAGTTCAAGAAAAAAATCAACGAAATGATCCAAGAGATTAAAAAGTCCTAAAGAAGGTATATTTTTTTCTAATAGAAAAAATTTAAGAATAAAATTCAAAACTAGTGATAAATATAATCAGAGTTCTTAAATTTAGAAAAGCTATAGACAGGATAAATGCTCAATAAATACTATTGTTTAGAACACTAAATTATTTAGAATGTTTAAGTGTTCTACATAAATATGCATATGTAGGTAGATAGATAAATATGATTAATAGTAGATGACCTCAACACCCCTCTCTCATCAACAGATAGAGAATCCACACAAAAAAACAACAAAGATGTCTTGGAACTAAATAAAACCATTGATGAAAATGTACTTGACAGATGTGTATAGAGTATTCCATCCAAGAGCAGTGGATTTCTCATTCTTCTGAGCCGCCCACGGAACTTTCTACAAAATAGATCACATCCTAGACCATAAAGCAAGTCTTAATACAAAAAAAAATTGAAATAATTTCCTGTATCCTAACAGACCATAATGGAAGAAAAGTAAATCAGTAGCAAGGAAAACCACAAAAACTATTCAAATACATGGAGAGTGAACTTTTGAATGATCAATGGGTCATTGAAGAAATTAGGAAAGAAACTTAAAGATGCCTAGACTCAAATGAAATGAAAACTTAAACTACTAGAATCTGTAGGACACAGCAAAGGCAGTTCTAAGAGTAAAGTTTATAGCCATGAGTACCTACATTAGAAAATCAGAGAGGTCTCAAAAAAACAACCTAATGATACACCTGAAGCTCTTAGAAAAACAAAAATAAGGCAAACCCAAAATCAGTAAATGGAAAGAAATAATAAAAACTAGGGCAGAAATTAATGAAATGGGGACCAAAAGATCAATGCAATAAACCAATGAAACAAAGAATTGGTTTTTTGAAGAGATAAGCAAGATTGACAGACCATTGGCCAAACTAACTAAAAGAAGGGAAAAGACCCAAATTAATAAAATTAGAGTTGAAAAGGTTGATATTACAACAGATATCAGTGAAAATCAGAAAATAATTAGGGAATATTTTGTAAAATTATATTCAAACCCACTAGGAAATCTAGTAGAAATTGATAAATTTCTATACAACCTATCAAAATTGAGCCAAAAGGACACAAACAACTTAAATAGATCTATAACAAGTAATGAAATTAAAGCAGTCAAGAGTCTCCCAACAAAGAAAAGCTCAAGGCCAGATGGATTCACTGCTGAATTCTACCAGACCTTTAAAGAAGAGCTAACACCAATGTGTCTCAAAATATTCCAAAAAATACAAAAGGAAGGAATGCTTACTAAATTCATTCTATGAAGCCAGTATTTCTCTAATACAAAAACCATGAAAGGACCCAACAAAAAAAGAGACCAATTTCCTTGATGAACATAAATGCAAAAATTCTCAAAAGAATACTTGCAAACCAAATTGAACAAACAGCACATTAAAATGATCACACACTATGGTCAACTTGGTTTCATTCCACACATAGATGTTTCAACATAGGCAAGACAATAAACATAATACAGCACATAAACAGAATCAAGTACAAAAATCATGTGATCATCTCAATAGATGCAGAAAAAGCCTTTGACAAAATTCAACATCCTTTCCTGATTAAAAAAAAGTATCTGAATAAACTATTAGAAGAATGTACCTCAACAAAATAAAGACTATACATGACAAACCTATAGCTAATATCACACTAAATGGAGAAAAACTGAAATCAAGTCCTCAAAAGTCAGGAATGAGACAAGAGTCGCCATTCTTCCCACTGTCATTCAATGTAACACTTGAATTCTTAGCAATAGCAACAAGACAATAAAAAGAAATAAAAGGGATAGCTACAGATAGCAAAGAAAGAAGCCAAATTATTCCTATTTGCAGATGATATGATCCTATCCCTAAAAGATCCTAAAAACACCACAAAAACATTCTTAGATTTCACACTTTCAGTAAAGTAGCAGGTTACAAAATCAATACACAAAGATCAGTAGTTTTTTCTAAAAACTAACAATGAGCAGGCTGAGAAAGAAATCAGAAAAACAATACCATTCACAATAGCCTCAAAAAATACCTAGGAATAAATTTAACTGAGAATGTAAAAGACTTCTACAATGAAAACTATAAATCACCAATAGTTGAAGAAGACACTAGAAGATGGAAAGACCTCCCATGTTCATATATTGGCAGAATCAATATCGTGAAAATGGCTATCCTACCAAAAGCAATCTACAAATCCAATGCAATCCCCACCAAAATTCCAATGATGTTTGTCACAGAAATTGAAAAACAATCCTAAAATTCATAGGGAAGCCCAAAAGACCCCTGTAGAACCATAGCAATCCTGAGCACAAAGAGAATGCTAGAAGTATCACAATACCTGACTTCAAATTATACTACATCCTCACGGAAACAGCATGGTACTAGCACAAAAACAGACAAGTAGATCAATGGAATAGAAGACTCAAAAATAAGCCTAAAAAGGTGCCAAAACACATGCATTGGAGAAATGATAGCCTCTTCAACAAATGGTATAGGAAAAAATGGATTTCCACATGTAGAAGACTGAAACTGGATCCCTGTCTCTTGCCCTGTACTAAAATTTATTTAAAATGAATAAAAGACCTCAATGTAAGACCTAAGGCTTTGACCTACTATGGAAAAACACTGGAAGATCTAGGCAGAGACAACAAATTCTTGAATAGTACTCCAATAGCTCAGAAAATAAAAGCAAAGATTGACAAATGGGATTGAATCAAACCAAGAAGCTTTTGCACAACAAAGGAAACAATCACTGGAATGAAGAGACAGCCCACAGAATGGGAGAAAATCTTTGCCAGCTACTTATCTGACAAGAAACCAATAAACAGAATATATAAAGATCTCAAAAAAAAAAAATCCTAAAGGAACTAATAATCCACTTAATAGTCAAATGAATTGAACAGACAGTTCTTGAAAGGAGGAGTCCAAAAAGACAGCAAACATGAAGAAATGTTAAACATCCCTAGCCATAAAGGAAATGAAAATCAAAACAACCTTGAGATTTCATCTTATCTCACTCAGAATGGCAATCATCAAATAATAACAAATGCTGGTAGAGATGTAGGGAGAGGAAGGAACCCTTATACACTGTTGGTGGAATGTAAATTAGTGCAGCTACTATGGAAATTACAATGGAGGCTTCTCAAAAACTTAAAAATAGAACAACTATATGATCTGGCAATACCAGATATCCTAAGGCATGTAAGTCAGCATACAGTCAAGATACCTGCACATTCATGCTTATTGCAGCACTAGTCACAATAGCTAAGCTATGAAATCAACCTAGGTGCCAATCAACAGGTAAATGTGGTATAAACACACAATGCAATATTATTCAGCCATGGAGAAAAATGAAATTATGAAATGAAAAATGACAGGGGGGTATCTAAGTACATTATCTCTGTGTATGATGGCATAATGAAACCCACTTTAAAAACTGTTAAATATAAGGGTAGATGGGGAAAAGAAAGGGAATTAATCTGATCAAAGTACAATTTATACATTATGGAAATACTACAGTGAAACCTCTTTGTACCACTAATATACACTAATCAAAAGTAATATAAAGGAAAAACTGAAGTCATATTATTTAGAATATGTATCATTTAGAACATTTTAGTATTCCATATCAATATACATTCAATATTTAGAATGCTAAATATATTAAATGTTTATCATTTAGAATACTAAGCATTAAGAATCCCTTCCTTAAACCTGGGGAGTTTTGCATACATCCATGATGAAAGAACATGTGACATGCAGGAGTTGTGTGCTATTAGGGCTAGATGATGACATGAACATAGTTAATATTTAAGGGGTTCCTGGAAGTCTGGCATGCGAATAAACACTTGCAACATGGAATACAGTGTTTGTGCCTGCCTCAGTCTTTCCATGTTGTCCTCCTGTCCACTCATCTCTGCAAATACTATAGAATATGCTTTTCCTTTTAGCGTTTCCTCACATGCCTGCCTTCCTCTTCTTGTCATTTCTCCAATATGCTTCTTACAGGTCTTGCTACTTTAACCTAAGATCCCTACTACCTTTTTTTCTCTCATTGTCTCACTTTCTCTTCCTGTTCATCCTCCAGGATTTAGCTAAGCTGTCACCTCCTCCAGGAAGCCTCTCATGACCCACCTCTTTTCTGTGGTTCCC